TCGCACAAGTCGGATAATCGCGTAACTCGGATGAGTGTCAAAGGTCCCGATTTTTCCTAACGTTATTTCCATTTAATTTAGTCGCGGAACTCGGAGACTACAAGTCGGATTTTCATACAACTCGGATGGAATTTCCAGTCCCGATGTTATGCATTTCCATTGAAATCACATCGTGTACGTCGGATGAGGTTTGGCTTTACATCAATACTATAAAACATAGCCGTGTCATACGCTCATTGGATCACAGACTGCTCAAGACATCTGCGGTAAGTGACCTTAGTAGCGCCGGAGTGTCGGGGCCTTGCAGACAGCAGGTCTACGCATCCCTGTATTGTTTTTTAACCCATTCGCGCCGGGTGAAAATGAACAAAAAATGGGGGAAAATGCCGTGCTCAATTTTTATACTTTTTGTGAAATTTTTCTACACTAGATGGCTCTGCCTTACCTGATTTCATTTGGCGGGAAAATGTATTTTTACTATTACAGTGAATATCGATGGTTATTTTTATTATAAACATTATAATTACTATAATGTTAGTAACAGCAAAATAAGATAACGTATAATATTTTCGTAAATTAAAGAAAAGGGTAAACAGGCGAGACAGGCAGTACAAGTACAAGTGCAGCCATCTATGTGTGAAAACAATCAAACAAGTAAACTCACAGTGGGCCCGTCCCATATACGTGACACCCGGCGTGAATGGGTTAACTGACCGCATGCTGCGAAAGACGCACGAGCCACGCGCCACCAACGTCCCGCCAGACTTCATTAATCATAATTTCCTGTAAGTCGGATTTTCTGTAAGTCGGATAAAATTTACTGGTCCCTTTTCATCCGACTTAGGCGATTTCTACTGTATATATATACATATATATTATATATATTTACAAACATGTATATATATATATATATATATATGTATATATATATATATATATATATATATATATATATATATATATATATGTGTGTGTGTGTGTGTGTGTGTGTGTGTGTGTGTGTATACATATATATATGTATATATACATAATATATATATGTATACACACATGTATATATATGTATACACACACACACACACACATATATACACACACACACATAAACACACACACACATACGTATATACATACATACATATATACAGAAAACGCAAGACACACAAAATTGGAGAATAGGAGAGGCCTATGTTCTGCAGTGGACTGATTCAGGCTGATTATGATGATACACACACACACACACACATACATATATATATATATATATATATATATATATATATATATATATATATATATATATATATATATATATATATATATATATATATATATATATATATAAAGACAAACATATATGTATGTATACAAACACAAACACATATATGCATATAAATACAAACACACACACACACAAACATGCACACATACACACACACATATATGCATATATGTATGTATACACACACACACACACACACAGACACACACACACACACACACACACACACATATATATATATATATATATATATATATATATATATATATATATATATATATATATATATATATATATATATATATATATATATATATATATATATATATATATATACATATATGCACACAAATACACATACAAACAAGGTGGCCCTGACTCAGCTTCGTCTGAAGTGCTGAAAATCCCTCGCACCTGTCCTAGTGGTTCTTGCGACGTTGTCGATGCTACCCCAGCACCAGAGATAGAATTATTAATTCACTGAATTCGCCAGATTTCCTCAGACTTTCATACTGTGTAGCATTTTCTTTGGTTTACGAAACGCATAGTTGTTTAGTTTGTTTTGGGTAGAAATGTCTTTTTTATCACATGTCAGATTCCAAAGGTTATTGAATGGAAAACATTTATACATATATATATATATATAAACTTTATTTCTTGTGTATACTCACAAAACAAAGTTACTTTGCAAAACCTGTGCATAAATCTACAATTTCGGGAAGAGACGACTTCTGTTTACAGATAGTCTTCCATAACATGACTAGACTGTCGTACAAAATTACATTTATTTGCGAATGTGCGCCCATAACCTATATCTTGATATTTGTCAAAACTACAGGTACCGATTTGCATTAATCTTCAATATAAAAAGAAATGAAGCTTCATGGAAGGGTATAAACTTTCTAATAAAATGACAGAAAGAGATGTCATTAAAAAATAACACTAAAACATACTGAATAAAAACATTATATGAACTCACATGTATAACTGCTGCACATCCCTTCATTTTTATGGATTTGAGAGAAGGGGTTGTAAGTAAGCAATTCACACGTAATACTTCTATTCCAATTATTATCGTATTTTTGGTAAAATCAATGTCCATACAAAATATATATCCAAAGTATCTCTTTACTCTCGACAGTATCATAAAATTGTTGTATACAAAAAGACTTACGTTGTATGAGCAGGAATACATCACTGTAACACAAATAAGAAACA